GTAGGGAAATGATTTGCCTCAAGCACTTGGGATGCTAATCCTGGTTGATCACCATAATATAGCCATGGAAGATTATGCCTCCTGAAAACAATCACAATGTTTTCTCTAAAGAAACAATGTTTTGCAACAAAAGAACATTTAGAATAATAATTTCCATAGAACACTACTAAAGACACAAATTATGGAAAAGACAACTTACCAGAAGGCTATTGAATGAACATTGCCAAGCCTTGCTGTATTGAAATAAATATACTGAAATAAACCACAGGCATCAGTATGCGAAGAACTCAAGGAGTTCATATTCATTACACACATATTTCCAAGAGCTTGGCATGCTGTTAGATTGGAGTACAACTGCAGTGGAGAAACACAAGAACATAAAAGAGTATTTATTTACCCTTCCTTTTGGTGAGGCAGTCATAAAATTAATGTTATCTTTCATAAGTCACTTCTAAACCCTCATTTTCACTTGAAACCGATTTTGTTGTCAACACTTAATATTTTCTTCCTGCTATTCAGGTTCCACATTTTTACAGATCTGCAGATAGCAACATGAAATCCATGCTCTCACTATTCCTGTTCATTTTAGTTGCATCAGCAAGATGGTATAAGGTAAAACAAATGTCAGTATCTGCACATAGAAAAAGGAGTAAGAATCTAAATGTTTAGCATCACTTAGGCTGTATGACAAATACAACTCCATCAAAGACCTAAGACTGACAACTATAATTGCATTTATCACAAATATCTTATTTTCAGTTTTAGTACTTTTTCTATTCTGCTGTTTCTAAACTATGTTATATTGATACAATTGTTCCATTTTGGTAAAACAAACCACTGCCCTGTGACAGGCAGAAGTGATGCCTGGAAACTCTGTGCAGTGATCAACGCAGTGATCACTGTGATTAACAAGTGATTAACACTGTGATCACAAGTGATTAATTTGTCAACATCTACTCCCTTTGTGTGGGTCAGACCAGCAGTTGCATGTCACAAAAAGGCAACACCTCTGGCGAGCTGAGCAGGCTGAGGCAAACAGGATAAACTTTCGTAAGAGGTTAAGTCTCACTTTGCAGAAAAGAACGAGGTAAGCAGGAGAATACATGTCAGAGCTGTGTGTATGAGATGGTGATTGGAGCAGCCAGAAAGGTGATGTGGGAAAGTACTGAACCAGAAGCCTGCTGAAATTCTGATTAAGAGAATGTCTGTCAGCTTGGGAACTGGTAACCTGGGAACTAGCCCTGGGAATCAGAAACATCATTGAGAAGTGCAGCTGGATACCTAAACACCAGAGACATCCTGAGATATCATTGATAAGGACAAATCCACAGAACTGTAACAGCAACTTATAATATGGAAAGGTGAAAAATAGTCTGGAAAAGAGGAAAAACATTCTAAGAAAGTGCCATTTGGTGATTGCTATTGGCTCTTCTACTTTAAAGAGAAAAAAAATATCTGGAAAAATTGAAACTGCTCTGAGAGAATATAAAACATCACCTATTGGCTGCTCCAGGTCGTGCTGTCCTACTTCCCCTTTTGTCATGTAAAAATGACTTACTTTTTACCCAAAACTGAGAGTGACTCTGTATGTCTGGATCTCTCTCTCTCACACTCACGCACGAGAACTCCGGGAATGCCTGGCTGAATCCAGACTCCACAACATGGATCATATTCAACGACAGACTTCATTCATATTTTTTTTCAAGTCCCCACTTCTGGGAGCAGTTTGGGGAGCACTGTACTGGTACTAATTTGAGTAACATATACACACAGGCACACAGGTACATAGGTAACTGATTACAGGTACATTTGCTGCTTTACTAGTAATAATTTTGTACTAAACTGTAATATTGAAATATATGCTGGCTGCTACTTTTTGAATACACACATACTTGCTTTATTATTAATAAGTATTATTAATAAATATACTTTACTAGTAGTAATTTGTAGTAATCTGTAATAATTATATGTATGAAATGAACAATCTGTGTGTTTGTATATTACTGTTTCCTGTGAAGCCAGTTTATTCACCAATAGGCCAGGTAGACCTTTGGATCATACAGACTGTGAGAAAAGCTAGGGCCTGAGAAGTTAAAATCTGATCATAAGGAGAGGAATGCAGAAGGGAAATGAGAATGTGGGATAAAAGAGTTGGTAAAGAGGAGGCAGAGTCACATCCCCTTCACAACTGTGGATGATTCTGTTGCCACAGCCACTCTTTCATCCATGGTTACTGCCACCCAGACCAATATAAAGGTAAGTAACACTTGCATACATAAAACAAAGCAAAGCTATACATGATGGTTCTATGGTTATCCTTCACCACAAAAAGGAATTATTAACTGAAAGCCAAGTAAGAGGTAAAGACCAGCTGCCAATGAATACCAATCATGTAAGAAGTTAATTTTCTAAGTGATCCCTTCCTGGATATACTCAGTAACAGTTCACATACCTACTGACTATGCAGGATTTTCTGTTAAGCACCATTCACCTTGTGAAGATTCCAACCCTGGAGGCTTCCACTAACATTGACTAATAACCTTTCTAATAATTCTGTATATACACTTATTTCTCATCTACTACAATTTCTAAGTAAGATTATTAAAAAGTAAGCAAGCTAACTTCTAAACACTACAGTGCATGCTTTTATAGAAATTATCGCTTCTGTATAAGAAAGCAAACTGTAAACATTAATGAAACTCACCCAACAGGCAGAGGCTGAGGACTGCAGGTTTTTCAGAAACCATGCTGATGTCAGTGTTATTCCCTGCAAGTAAGTAACTGCTTCACTGTCTTTGTTCAGAACAATTTATCCATAATGCAGCGGTCTGGAAAACTGTTAGCCAAAAGATGCTATTTATTTTTTTCTAACAGCTTTCCTTCATTGTGCAAATGTGCAAATTACACCAGTTTAGTTCAAAACACAACCATAACGCAGTAATTTGTTTCACACCACCAAATCAGACAAAATACACAGAACAAAAGCAGAAATACTTAAGTTTTGAATGCGGATTCTGTGACAGGAGATTACTGCATAAAAGTACTATTGATTTCAAGGATAAGGTGTTACCTGGGTGATAAATGTAACTCAGGACCAAATTTGCCAAATTATATATTTCACAACGCGCTTTTTATAAATACTCATATTTGAAGTAAATTAGTATTCTTTTTCAGTTTTCCAAGAAGGCACGAATTTTAAAGCATATTCCATTAGAGAAATGCTTGCATGGTCTACATGTCTGCATTCTATGTTGATGCAAATTACCTTGCAATCACCGTGATTTAGACAACAAACCATCACCTTTGTTTTCCAGGAATGGAATCTAAAAGACTTACCGAAAATAAATGAGATAGCTTGAAAATGTTTTAGAATAGGCACACTTACTAGCTGTCCAAAACGAACAGTTGCAACTCCCTTTGGGGGTAAGCTTTCTTTAGCACTGAAACACAATCCTCCAGCCTGAAGAAAATTTTTAAAAAAATTAAAAAGGAGAGAAAATCTATTTGTTTGTCAGCATAGCTTTTCTTTTCTGAGCTTCAAGACAATAAGTATGCTACTTACCAAAATATTTGGGCTGCCGCAGTCACATGACTTGCTTACATTGATGAATGTTTGTTCACATCTTACACACCTATGGATCACAAACATGCAGAATGCACTTAAAATGCAGTTAACTGTAAGATCTAGTACTGAGTGAAAGTGCACTGTATAGTATGCCTGGCAACACAGCCAGCATCTTCGCTAGCTTGAACTCAAATCTGAAAGACATTAGGATTTGTTTCTACTGACAGTGAAGTAGAGAAGAAATGCAGCAATTACCAAAACAAGAATTCTGTTCCTGTTTCCACTCCGAAGGCCTTTATAGTCACACAAAAGCAAACAAACAAACAAACAAAGCAAGCAAGCCGCTGGTCATTTAAGGACTTCAGTAAACACAAAACATAGTGACTTTGGTCCTGGGGCTGAGGATTTTCAATTCACTGCTTTTAAAACCCAAAGACATTGACTGTTCCCCAAGAATTTTTCATTTGAATACGTTCACATTTATCACCTCAAAATGAGAAGAATACTCACCTATTTCCTGACACATCCGCAGCAGAGAAGGATTGCTCGCTGTCATTACAACGTGTGCACAGTGCTTTGTTAAGCAAAATGCCATCGATGCTTCTTTCCACTAAACGGAAAAGAAAAGCAACTGTGATAAAATTGCATGATGCACAGTCTGTCACACAGGTTAAGAAAAGCGTGAAAAAATGAAATATCTATGCAGATCTAAAATAAATCCACAGGTTTTATTTTTAAAAAAATCAAGAGCACAACTTGCAAGTAACATGCACTATAAATGCACATATTTGCATCTGTGCATTGTTTATAGTTTCAATGGGAAATGCAACACTTTATATGCAGTTTTGCTGTTCCTTTGTTATTTACTCTGAACCAAATTTCAAACCAAGGCTTCATTGAAAAGCTAAAACTCAAAATACCAAGTTTACAAAGTATTGGAAAAAATATTTTAAATTATTATCTGAAATTATTAATGCAACTGTCACAAATTCAGTTTCAAAACTGCAACTGCATAACTTCGCAGAAGATTTCAAGCCTAATTACTTAAAAGAAAAGATACAAAGAGAATCAAAACAATTACAATACTAATGTTCTTTCTGCATGCCTAATTACAGAATCAGCTTTGATATAAATATTTTACAATAAAGGCTCAGAATGTATTTTCTAAGTCTCATAAAATTTAAGGCAGGCTATTTGGTATTCACTTTTTTGCAGTTTCCTACAAAAAAATTGAATTAACACTCTGGGAAACAGTGATTCTCCAGTATACTGTTAGAAATGTAACCAAAGTAGACATCAGTAAGACTTATTCATATAATTACAGGCACATGGAAAATCTCTTCCATCCTATGTCCTTGAAAATAAGGAAAACAAGAGCTCCCGAGAGTTTATTTGTTTTAAGCTCTTGAGGAAATCTATCTTTTGCTCTTAGTTTTTCACTGTGCAAGATAAATAAGGATACAGTTAACATAGACACTAAAGCTAACAGAAAAAATAATTTTCTGTCTCTAGTGAAATTCATCTGCAACTACTAGAAAGCATCAAGTAAGAGGCACAGATCTGGAAAGAATGTTCCAGGAAATCACATATAGAGGCACGTGCCTCAGGGAGGCATGAAATCCACTGATATTAACGCATAGTAGTTTGCTTGTCTTGCTCATAGTATTCTGTTCCACGTATATGTATATCCATATATGTATAATTCCTGTCCTGTGATGCTCCTATGCACTATATCATTATACACATTTGAATGTTTCTTAGTCTATATTGACATTGTTTTTATCCTCATTTGAGCTTAAAGGAAGCAATATAACAGTATTTATTTTTTTAATGTTTGCATAATAGTGTTTATTGCAACAAATAATGGTACAGATTTATCTGCTGTCTTTCAGGAATGAGGTTTGAGATCAAAGGGAATGTTGATTTTTTACATTAGGTATGTATACGTATGTTAAATTTATTTTCCTATTTAAAAGAAGAACATGTCTTAATAAACTATAAAAATAAGCACTAATATCTCATTACTTGCATATATTTCTTACCTAATATTTCATTATTTAGGCATTTACATTTTCCTTCTGAAGTCAGTCCGTTTGGGCAAGTAATACAGTTCCACCCATCTTGAGTAACTCCACTCTAAAACAAAAATATAATTTTCAAAGATATAGAAATCACCAAGTATCAGTGAAGAATGCCTAATCCAGATGTTATTTTCTAGAAAATGTATTAAGATACTACATCAGTAGCATTCATGAAGCTTTTAAAGATTAAAAAAAACCTAAACAATGTGGCAAAAAAATTCCTATGCAGGCCTAGATTAAAAAAAGTGTTCTTAAGTTTTTCTTAGCTAACACCTTCTAGTGAAGATAACAGCTGATTAAAGTAGAAGGCGTAAAAAAATAGAGGTTCTACACACAGAAAAAAAAACCAATAAACATAATGCATTGTAGAGTCCCAAAAAGGATAATTGTCTCAGAACAGCTGGCGTGACAAACTGGACAATGTGTGAAAATAAAGACCATTGCTCAGTCAACCTGGATGGGGTGGGGGGTTGCAAGTGACCACCTGGACCCCCATGCCCCACTGACTCATTTCCAGCACATTCCCAGGTCCCACACTGAGTCTGCGCTGAGTAGGCTGAGCCTCACCAGGAGAGGTGGGGCCAGGTGCCATCAGAGAGACAGACTCAACATGCCCGGGTCGCACCTGCTATCCAAGGACCACATCTCATGCTGAGATCGTTCCTGGATCCAAGGGTGGTGACATCTCTCCTATCCGCTCTTTCTTTATATCTGTCTCTCCCTCTCTGTTTCTAACCTTATTTTTGGCACGTGGAGGTAACATCATCTCTAATTTTGCCAAGTTTTTCCAGTTGTAACATGTTGTTTTGAGAGTACCATTTTGCTAAGTTCTGCTGGTTGTAACCTGTTGCTTTGCGAGTGACATTGTTGTGTGTTTCCTTTAGACAAGCTTCATAATCTTACTCAATTTTAAGTAAAGGTGTGTTTTGTGAAAGCCTACTGGGTAATGGTCTTACTCTTAGAGTATGGTGCAGAGAATTCCTGAGCTTAATCTCACCAAATGGGTTGTTGAAAGAGATTAAGAGAGGAGGACTGGATCTGAATCTCCTTGGGTTGACCCCCACTGCTGGGGAACCCTAGCCATGCCCGCTCTGTGGGACACGACATGCATAAATAGACATAATTGTGTAAAATTTACAGAAGCAATGGAAATGAAGGGGTACTAAGTCAAGCAGCTTACATAACTGCATGGAATTTTGCACATACTCAAACAGCTCACATCCATGCTTATATTATAAGAAAGCTGCACTGCACTGCAGATCAAAACCACTGAGGAAAACAAAGATAACTGCTTATCCTCAGGTCATGCAGGTGTTATTCCTTTCTTCACTTTCATAATTTTATCTTTGCATAAGCCTTGCCACAGGATCAAAGACAAATGCCACCATTACAGGAAGAATTACATTACAGCAGAATGATCAAAACACCAACAAACATTTTTCAATGCCTTTGTCTAACGTAGTAAGAAGTTGAAAGAAGAGGGAAGTTACTTACATTACTCATTAGCCATTAAACATCTTACTTATGCAACTAAACAGGTCTCTTGAGCATTCTTCTACAGTTACTGGAGAGAAAGAAGTACTCAGGAAGGCTCTTACTCTCAAAAGTTGTGTTTGCTAGAGAAAAAATATTTATTTATTTACTGTAGCAGGAAAAAGCTGGTTAAGCCTGGTTGGTACCTCTGGCTCAATGCTGTGAACACAATCCAAAATTCTGGCTTAATTTATCAAGAAAGGTAGAAAGAACTGACCAAACTACAAAGTTATATATAATTAAAGTAACATAGCAGCAGCAGCACATTTTGAAGTAAAAAGATAAGAGTTATCAGGGCCTACAAAGATGCAGCCTAAATATTCGAATAATAGGATTGATATAAATAATCAAAAAGAGCTAAAAAGCATCTTTGGCATTCTCTAAACAGTGATCTCTGGGCAAGGATAGCGTAAGATGAAGCAGACAAGAAAAGCAGTGGAAAGAAATGAAACATTTAAAATACTCTTACTTTGCTTGTGGGGACAAATTCAGAAAGAAAAAATACCAGCAGGAGAACAGTAATAAGCAGTTCTAAAGACTAAAAAAATACTACCTATAAGCTTAGTCTGAAAAATTCTGAAGCAAAAGAATATTATGCAAAACAATTTAAAATTCATTAAAAATAACTTGCAGTCAGAAGAAAATGTGAAATTTAAAATTAGTAGTATGAAGTTCAATAATTACCATATTTTCTGGGCATTTTTCACAAATAATGGAGGATCCACCATTACCAGAAACCATCCTGTATCCTGGCTGACATTCACATGAACTACCTGGAAAAAAAAATGCACTTTTATTCTATATAAAATGGATTTTTTTTCACAGAATACTAAGAACAACAGTTATGGCTCTCGACATATCAATATAGATTATTAGACAGACAAAACACCCAAGTGAGACATGCATTAAAATCACCTTGCTTTTAAAAAACTGTTAATGCTGCAGATTGTACAAAGACGTTTTAGGAATATATGATTAGGCTGATATAACAAAGGGGAACAAGAGCCAAGGGTTTGTGTTCTCATGAGGTTTTAAAGGCTGTATCAGTTGCTCTAATAGCAGATAAAATCTCTCCCTCTATATCCTGCCATTCTTAGCCCTCTACACCACCTGCATTATATGTTTGTGTACAGTTTTCATCCATTGAATAGGCCGCCAGTCCTAAAACCAAAACATGTTTATTGGCAAAGGTTTTTCAAAACATAACTTACTTGTAAAGCTATTTTAAAGTCAAAGCTTTAAAAACTGTGCATGATGATCATGCTTTATATGGAATGGTTTTCAGTGAATATCAACATAACATTCAGTCTGAACAAGTAAACACTATTTTCATGGCACATCATTGTGGACACCTGCTGGTGCTAAACAGGTGGGGTTTTTTTCAGAAACTTTTTCAGTCTCACTATGATGGGACTGTCTCAGTACTTGTAAACACACACCACAAACCAAAATTGATTCCTTGTACTAATAAACTGTTGTTGTTGTTGTTTTTATTATTATTAAATGTGCATGTAAAAATAATGTACAATTCTGTGGAAAGTTTTATAACCATAAAGTACATCCTCATGAGATCAGTTTTACAGAAACATTAGTGCAAATAATAAATGATTAATTCTTAACTATGAAGAAGAAAAAGCCCAGACCAATGAAGATAATCAAGTTGTTCCATTCACTTTGAGGATGGCTAGACTTCTAAACTTGAAAGCAGAATCCACAGTGATGAGCTAGCCACAGAGGGCATGGGCAGACTGGTGCAGTGGAATTCAGGCAAAATGCAAAGAGCAGACTGAGTTGCAGCTGCCTACACTGCTCCACTCACATGTCTTGGAAAAAATTAAATCCTTGACCTCCTCTTGGAATTTATCTTTCCCTGAAGCCCTTGAATTAGACAAAGATTCAAGCCTAAAAAAGGGAGTTATGGTTCTAGACATCCACTTTATCAGGGGGTCTGAAAACTATTGCAGTACATTTTTTTTCTGCAAATAAACTCTGGGGCTACTCTTGTAAGTCATCATGACGGCAGTGGAAGAGGTGACCAGCTTTTATGCAGCAGCTGTGAACACAGCCATCCAGATCTCTGCATCTGATCAGTTCTGAAGAGATAAGCTGTTGGATCTTAAGTCTCAAATTTGTTGCTGTACATGCAACACTGAACTCCCACTTTTCTTGGAACTGTGTATTTATAAAAGATGGACACTATTATACCATCTTATCTCCTAAAGAAAGTGAACTACTATCTGTATTTTTCATTTAGGACTGTCAAGTGTGTTGTGCATATTCTACATTTCCACGTGTGATTTGGTTTTGTATGTGCACAGCCTGAAGAACTCAGATAGTTCACATTGTTACTGTAAAATGCAGTCGCTGAAAGAACTCTCTAACACTTGTCTTTAAGTTTTAGACGGCAGTTCTTTATTGCAGCGCTGGATGCACCAGAGATAGTTCTCAAAGTCGTGCATACCCTAAGTGACAACAGGCAAGTCCTATATTGTCCTACTAGATACATATTTATCAGATTTCCTGGAACTCATTGTACTATTTGCATTCTCCTTATCTATAGCTTTAAGCCTCTTAGGTGGGGGTCTTCCGGGGGAGTCGATCTGAAGTGTCCTTTGGTTAATCCCTTCTCCGACGCACGCATAAGACTGGGGAGGCAAAGCTTGCTGGTCTCAGCCTATTTCCAACTGCAAGGCCCGGAGTTCCTTGAGTTTGTTGGCCATTTACATGCAAAAGGCTCCGATAAACGCCAATCAACATGACCATAAAAGGGATGATGGAATGTTGCCTTTTGTGTAAGGTATCCATACACATCTCAGACATTCCAGGTTTGCCAAAGAGTTTCAAGTTAGGGAAGCGTTCAAGGACAGAGATTCAGGGCCCTACGGAATTCTACTGTGAACACCTCAAGCTATAAAAATGCCTAAAGAAAGAAAAGCTCTAAAAACGACTCCACGGACGTTTCTCTGGGATGTGTCTCAGACTCAGTTGTGCTGTGGCCACTTCTGTCTTTGCGGGGTCCTTTTCGCTGCCTGTTCACACTTGCCCCCGAGCACTGCTGTTTTACCTCTAAAGCCTGAGCCTAGATGTTGCATTTCCCGCTGCTGAGGGGCGGATTCCAGCGCGGAGCTGCCTGAGCCCCACCGGCCCCCGGCCCAGGGACAGCCCCGCCTCCCCCCGCGCATCCGGGCCTTGTCGCTCACCGCTGGCGCTCTGTCGCTGGTGGGCCCCGCAGGGCCCGCAGGCCAGGCGGGAGATGTCGAAGTAGCGGGCAGGGCCGCA